TTCCTGAGGTCCTGCGGCTTCTTGACAAGATGTTTTGGAGAAGGCGTTGCCGCTCTTATCGTCCATGATATTTTGGTTCTGGTGCCGCGGTCAGGAGACATTGAACGAGAGGGTTTGCTGCCCTTTTGTTTTATTTATCCTCTCTGCCTGACGGCCAGTTCTACACAAACGTGCTCCTCGGCACCTCAGTTGGTGCTGGCGGGTTTGCTCACAGTTGTCACTGGCAATCGCATGCGCCAACTCTTCTCTGCTCCTTTTCAGTGTCGCATTTTTTTATTGATTGACGGACGCCATTCTGTCCGGCGTGCCACTTTGATTGGATTGTGTGGAAGTGCTCGCCAACGCCATCGGAGAAAACAGGCCGACTTTTTCACGTATTTAAATGCCATCTTGCGCGCAGGTATTTTTTCCACATGTTCAGTTGATGTGCACTCAAACAGCGAGGTGTCCGGAACTATGCGTGCGTGGAATTCTTCCTGCCATGTGAACTGCGGGCAGCACCGAGGGGCTGCCACTTTGACTCCGCAGAGTTATTGTGTCTTTTTGCGGGGTTGGCAGGGAAATTCCATGCAGCCCGCTACTGCTGGTGTGTCCTCAAATGTTGTCACTCCATGCGAATAATGTGCTTCAGCGAGTGAGGGTGTTGATTGGGTTTGTGTGCACTCTGATTCTGTTTGCTACTTTTTGTGGGCACGCAACACTTGAGTGGTGGGAAAATGGAGCGGGGCGGTGCGTGGCCGCGTCTCGCCCATCGTTCACTGCACGGTGGTGTGGTGCACATTGTGGTGCTGACTCTGCGATGTGACTGCGGTCTCCTGTGCGGCGATGGCGGTGGGTGGACGAGAGTGTTGACCCGCGGCGGGACGGTAGGATCGTGCCTCCTTTTCTCTTTGTTCCTTCCCTTTTGTGAAGGTGTGCACCTATTTTTGGTGTCAGCGATGAGGCAAACAGACCGACAACGTGAATAAAACAAAATAAAAAAGGGCAATAGTGTGGCGGTACGTTGGGGGTTGGTTGCACGCCTCGTGTTGCTGCGGGGGTGGTGGGCCTTGACTGCTTCACCGACAGGCGTTGCAGTGCGACTGCATGGCGCACCGACCATCGAGCCGTGCGAGTGTTACGCCCAACGCCACTGGGACTGCGGGAGGAGACAGCCGCGAGTGTCCTTTGAAGCCAGCGGCACCTGCTGGCCGCAGTTGGGCGGTGCGAGTGGGTGCTTCACCGCACGGGTGTTGTGATGGTGCCTCGCCGTGGCTCTTCTGATGGTTCCGACGCTGCAGCTCGACATGTGGCGGGGAGTAAAGTGTGGCCGCAGTGGACCATGAGCAGCACCAACATGAAGCTGAACGATTTCCTTTGGAATTATGTTGACGGAAGGGCGGCTGTTGATGAAAGAATACAACGTGACGATGGAGGAGTTTGTTTTGGATGTCGATTTTTACGTAGAAGACATACAGCTTCTTGTTAAAATTTTATTCTTGCAGGAGTGCAAGGTGCAGAAAGATGTTTGCAGACTGCATAGAAAGGGAATTTACACACTTGCTTTTTGGAAGGAGTTTCGCCACTTAAAGGAGTTTAATATTTGGTCTAACTCTAAAGAAAGGTTGACCGCGGCTGTGAACGCTGCTGACAGCGCCGAGGTGGAAATTCAAGTGAGCCATGAATGAGGCGCAGTGAGGGCATTTTTAACTTTTAATGTGGACGAACCAGTGAATCAAGCGGAAAACACTTTGGAAGAAGATGAGGCACAATTGGACGTCATGCATGGCGACGTTGCTGTTGATTTAGAGGAGCAGGAGAGACAGGCGCAGAGGGGAGCGGGGGGCGGCGTAGCTCAGACTCCCGCAGCACGTGTAAGAGGAGACAAGAGGGAAACGCAGCAACCGCAGTGAACTCTTGACAGTCGGCTGGATGAAGTGCTGCTGGAGGGAAAGGAACGCATCACCAGCATGAGGCTGAATGACTTCCTTCGGAATTATTTTGGGCGGCAGGGGCATTGTGGACGCCAATCGGGATGTCTTACTGGAGGAGTTTTTTAAGAACCCCAAGAAGTATATTCGCGATGCGGGAGTATTGAACGAAATGCAGGCATCCGATCGTTACAAGAGGATGGAGGGGGCTGTACGGGATGAAATGGATATGGAAGAGGATGTACACAAGCTTTACAAAAATGGTGTGAACAATCTACTGAATTGGTTGGTGGCTACTGCGGAGGTAAAGGCAAATGTTCATGGAGTCACTAAAAGGTTCTTGGATGCGGCCGCCGAGGAAGCGAGGAACCCAAAGAAGTCGAGCGCACCGACATACCTGGAGGGATGCTACGAGTCTGTGTACAATGCGGGGTGGCACCATGTCGTGGAAGTTCCTGGCGGCGAGGGGACGGGAATGGAGGTGGAGGAGGGGGAACCACCGCAGTCATGGACGTACAGGGCGGTTGGCGACACTCTCGAAAAGGATGACGGTGTGCAGCAATCCGGTGCACCGCGTCTCAGGCTGATGGTGCTCACCTCGGACGAGGGATGGCTGTACTCGTGGGAGGAGGATGAATCCCTTCGTGACTGCCATGTGAACTGTGAGGTGGAGCGAGTGTGGCAGATTGTCAGGAATGATCTAACCGAATTGCTCAGCTCTGACCCTGGGGCCTACTTTGAGCCTAGGCGACGTGTGTTGATTGGGACGCCCGGGATTGGGAAGTCGATGGGTGCCGGCTCGTACCTCCTCTACCAGCTGCTGCACTGCGATGCGGAGCAGCTCCCAATGGTTGCGCACTTTATGGTGAGTGGAGCATATCTGTTGGACATGACCGCCAGAGCGGTGCCAGAATACATGGGCGAGTCCAGCACCGTAGAGGTTGTGAGGGCCCGTCTTGGTGCGGGGTGAGGGGGTATATTGTCTACGACGTGGCATAGCCGGACAATCGCCTGTCCACTTGTTTGCTTCCTCTTGAATGGGGCATGCTTGTGGTGACACCACCAGAGACAAAAATATGCGGACACTGGGCGAGCGAAGGGAGAGCCGCACGAATTGTGATGAATTGTCCTGACGAAAGCGACGCGAAGGCAATGTGCGTTTGGACGTGGCGTGATCAGCCGTGCAGCGGCAAGCGGAAAGCTGGCGCGAGGTGAGGGGTCACATGGATGAAGTGGGGCCGCTTCTTTGCTACATCTTTGGTAAGCGACATTGTACTGCACGGATTGAGAAGTGTCACCGCGCTGTGGAGATGACGAACTCCCCGAGAAGCAAGTATTACTTTGGCTTTGGGATGTTTAGAATGTGGGATGATAATACGACGTTTGAATGTCTTGCAAATATTGTCCGAGTACGGGGAGAGCACAATGGTGAGTCGCCTTTCAATGCACCGATATCTGCCCACCTCGGAGGTAAAATATTATGCAGGTTGGCAAAGTTAATGCGGCCGAATGATTTCAATTTGCTCGTGTTGAGGCTCAGGGATTATCTCATGTCCGAAAATTTTGGGAAGTGTGCCGTGTTTGCGTTTTTGAATGGGGCTTTCGTGGCTGCAGTAAGGCGCAAACTGAAGGAGCTGAGGCCACCAACAAGACGTCAGCCACGCCGCTGTGCGCTGGAGGTGTTATTCGCAGGAGCGCCTCACCAGCCACTATTTTTTACCGTCGATGGAATACCGTTACGAGAAGATTGATGTGGAGCGCGGGGTGCCGTAAATAACGGAGGTCGAAGGCTTTCCGCTGGAGGACGCCTTTTATTTGTGGACTCAAATCCGGTGACGCTGTTTGGGCCGCGGATGGCTACGGCGGGTGGGCACCACACCACCGCCAGCACAGTGAGGCAGTTCACTGAGTGTCTGGCGGCTTATTTTAATTGTTGGGAGGAATCATCTCGAGACATGTCGTGGGATATTATTTGTGTGCAGCGCGCAGACAGCACGCCGATGAATGACTGGCAGAGATGTGATGTCGTCAATTCCTATAATGTGAGCGACGATGAAGGCCGTGAAATAGCGGCATTCTGGAAGGAAGAGGGCGCGCCCGTACCAAGTGTCAATATTGTCCGGAGAATTTAGAAGAGACGAAGCACTCCGAAGTGTGGAAGAACCGTCGAAGTAGGAAAACAAAATTGGGGAAAGGGGCAATTTTGTTTGTGGGAAAGAAATATTGTAGGATTTATATATTTTTTGATACTTTTGTGTGTGCATACGGTGCAGGTGCACCAGCACCAGGTGACAGTGTTACAAAAAGATGTCAAAACTGACCAAAGCTATCGAACATAACAGTGACAGAAGAAAATTAGGGAGGGATTGGGGTTGTTTGGTTTCTGGTGAAAAACATTGGGTGATTTCTATATGGTATGTTGATTGTGTGTGTGCACACGAGGCATAATTGGAGAATTGCCCCGGTATGAGGGAATCATTGTGGCTGGCGGTGTCGCAGTACCACTGCATTTTCCATATTTTTCTATTGTGTTCTGATTCCCATCACTAACAGAGGCGTCTTAAAGGGATGGACGAAGGATAAGTTCTATTGAGGAAATGGTGCATTCCGTGTGGCTGCATGGAGTGAGTGCCGCATCCCATTGATGGTGAGACGGCATTTTCGTGCTGGTGCCAACATTGCTTCCTCTTGCGATTTCATGCTTGACTGCAACATCGTGGTGCCAGAGCCGGTCGCCCTGTATTATCCGGGGAAGCCAAGAGCCAGCAATGCTGCCCTCATGGGATTGTTGTTGCTGACGCAGGGCTGACGGCATCGACCAGCGCCCGGACCAGCCGCGTATTACTGGGGCACACAGTTGTAACACCACGAGGTCTGGGGGCAGGTGTTGCCGTGCCGTCTGCGGTCCATCGGATTTGTTTGAGAGAACACGAGAAAAAACATAATAATGATAAATTGCTCTACGCCCTTACACGCTCTCCGCCCCTTTT